AATTAATTAATTAAATTCAAGTTAACTTTTATTAATTTAAGTTAACATGTGATCTAAAGACATATAATAAAAGAATCCATTAACCAAACAGTGATGGAAGACATGAAAATGATGTCTGTGAGGTTAAAGATTGTAACCTTTCGATGTCTGTGAAGTTAAGAGCTGTTACATTTAGATATTTGATTGAACAGACATGATTTATGGTGAATGAACGGATATCATCATTAGACATGTTCAATAAATGTGTTTACCTCTCAAAATGTTATTATTTTTTGTAATCTTCTTTTTCCTATTTTTCTAACAATGAACAGAGAAACTAAAGCGTGATTCGTTTTGGATTCGTTTTGGGATTTTTTAGTGTGATCAGAAGGAAAAGTGGAGACTTGTGTAACCAAGACAGAGCCAAAGAAGGGAGGAATTTGGTGCCAGGGTAGCGTGGGATGGCATTGGGAATGCGGAGCCGCGGTCTGTTCTATCTCCAGTGGTACAATGGAATGGACACAAGATTTCTTTGGTTAGGCAAAGTGAGGAAGTATTGTCTGATAAAGAAAGAATATTGGAGTTGGCTTGAGTCAATTTTCGGAACTATTTCTTGCTGTGTATTCTAGATTTGGAATGATGCGCCTAATTTATTTAGATATTTGAAGATCTGCAGAGGATACAAGCCATAAGTTTTAGGAAAAGACAAAGAAATTAAAGCTGGGTTTAGATATTTTACCATGGTTCATGGCCGATGGGTTTGATATCCTTTACTAATGGAACTGGCACACTATATGTTAGCATTGTACCGTGCTTTTGAATGTATCAAGTTTATGTATGGGTATATTTTTAAGGTTAATAAGAAAAAATTATGTTTAAAATACATAAAAATTAAGTTCAGTTAGTCAAGAAACCCTAATGGTAAATATATATATATATATATAAAGAACATTGTGCCGTGTGATATGAAACAATGAGGGGTAGATGCTTGGACCGTCTAAAACAATAGTAGTAATTTATTTTAAGGCTATGTTTTTCCATGAAACTATTAGGATGAGACTACTGTTCACAGCCAAAATGTTGCCTAAAACCATGCCTTGAGAGTTGAAACTATTACCAACAAGCTAAATATAGGTATTGATTCAAACGTTTGTTGTATTCCCGAAGCCTTGACAAAATGGTGAGGATGGTGCAACCTCCAATTGAGGCATTAAAAGTCATTTCTGGTTTTGATAGGGAACAGGGTGCCTTGATACGTGAGCTTTGAAGATAATCGATTACCATATTATTTAAATAATGAGAGTTTAGGTGCCTGGGAAAGTAGCAGCAGCCAGCAGTACCCAACAGGCAACATCGGGTCTGCGTCTACGTCGCCGTGAAGAAACAGCTGTTTGGACAAGGAGCAGTCGAAAACTATGTTTTCCCCGAGGCCACTAAACTTGAACAATGAAAACGTTGATGAGCCACTAAACAACTCTGTGGTACAGAGAAGATCATTAAGTATCAACAACAGTTACCAGTACGACAACCAATAATGGGTTTTTTGAGAATCTCGCATTGGTAATGTCTTGGTTTTTCAGCTTAAAGAAAGGGACTAATTTTAGTCATGTTTATCCATTTGCAAACGTAAGCATTTCCCCTTTTTAACACATTAGCATACAATACTCATAATTAAAGCTTCCAAGCAAAGGTCCTAGAAAGGAGAAGGAAGGTGCTAAAAATGTAAAAAGAGGTCTTTCATATGAAAATCTTATACTATTAATAACTATAATACATATAATAGACTAAATACCAATTCTGCCATTTTTCAAGTGAGTGAGAAACGGGCTTACTTTTAATATTTTTTACATGTCAAATTATCATTCATAAGTAATACTATTGCTAAAGAGACCAAACGACAAATCTGGTGAAGTCCAAATTGAGGTCAATTATTTGCTTTCCGAATCTAACTAAATACTAAGAGTTTAGTGGCAGGCCGGACTACAAAAAATCAAATATTAAATAAAAGGATCAACACTAATTATCAAGAGTCTCTCATTATCGAATAGTTATTTGCAATCCAAAATTCAAATCACTTTTTTGAATAAATACAGTTCACATGAATAGAGGAGGAGAGGATAAAGCGGCATCAGACAATTTCTTGCTATTACCTTCACAATTATAAAAGTGAAATAAATAAAAAAAATCCCATATAACAACAGAAAGAAATAAGCAGGTTCTTGTTCAATTGATGGAAAACCCTTATTCATCTGTTGACAAATTGATTACCACGTGTTTTCTGTGTAGAAGGATATATTAACCCAAAAGAGGAAGTAGTGACTAACTGAGGAATCTAAATTTGAGTAAAGAAAGAAAACTAAAACAACAATCACCTGGTGGTAAAAAAAAACACACACACAGACACAACAACAAACAACAATTGCCTGACTCCATTTTGTCTGCCTTTTTCCTACAGTACAAAGGGGGAGAGATAAGAAGATTATGATTTATTTAATGAAAAAAAAATGTTTTATAGTTTAAACTGTAACATACTAAATTTTAAATATTTTCATTAAAAAATTTTCGTTTTATAATTTAAAATATAAAACAATAAACTTTTTTCTATTTATTATGACCTTTGATTGATAAAGGTAGTATGGTTATTTAACCTTCATGGAGTGAACTGGGTAGTTGAGAACGATGAGTACAACCCCACCAAAATTATTCCCTTCTCTTCATTCTCATTCCTTCTGTACCAAAATCAGAGGAAGAGAAGAGGAGGGAAAGAGAGCATGATGAGGTTATTAAAGGAGTGGGGGACCTAGTTGTGGAAGAAAGAGGGATGTGGGGGTACTTTTATAGCACGCGGTTTTTCTTTTGGGGTAAAAGGCATTTTGGAATTTTGGATTCAACTGGCCGGAGCCGGTGGATGGAAGGCCGTTTTCAACTTTTACCCTTTGATACGTTCACCGTCGAGGAACAAAACTCTTCCTTTCCTTTCTTTTGCTGCTATAGTTATAGTCACACAGCTTTTTAGCTGTTTTATAAATTAGTATTTTTTTAAATAATTAATTATAATATTTTAAAATATTTATTTATAAACTTATTTTAATTATATCAAATAACAAATATTAAAATTCTATTAGTTTTTAAGCGCTCTTAATAGTTAAATTAAAATAAAAAATAAACAATTAAAGGGGCCTTAACAAATTAGTGTGGCTATAATCACGCCCTTCTTTTCCCTATTCAATGCTTTTTCTTTCTAAATATGACAACTTAAAATGTTACGTATAATTATTAGTCTACAATTATAATATCCTACGAAACAAATAATTGCATATAAATATCTTGTGGGACTCTTAAAAAGAGTCAAATCATATAATTACATATCTTAATTATAATATTATAATATCACATGCCATAATTACATAAAATTATTATATCAATTCATAACATCCATTTAATAAAGAGTTAAGTTGCATTTGAAATTGTGTTTTCACAACATTCTTTTACTCAGCCATCATTAAAAATGTTAATTTTATTATATTCAAATTAATTTAAATCAATGTTTATATATTTTTAGTAATTTTTATATATTATTGGTAATTACATAGTTGGACAATTTATATTAATGTTTATGATTATGCTGCTGAGAGATTTGGATAAAGAAATGCATCAAGTAATTCTAATTAATGACATAGTCATAAATATTGTTACTCTAGTAAAGGCATTGGCTTAGTCAAATAATATTAAAAATTGCACCCATAATTTTGATTGCATTGATCTAGATGTACTCAACTCTTGATAAATATCAAAGTTTTAATTGTTATACTAACGGCTTTTCTATCCCTCATTCCTCCAATTGTCCTTGTTCAGGAAAAAAAAAAAAGTAATAGTAAAAATGGATTAAAATCATGTTATAAAACATGTTCAAATCTCTTTATAACCATTTCAGAGCGAGTACCGAATATTATTGTTCCATAAAGGACAGCCCCTTTCTTTGACAACGAGATTGATTGACTGTTGTGCCTTAGGGCTTAGACGTCAAAGATTCTCTCCATTCAAAGGAATCCATCACAAATGTCCATACTTCTTTTTCCAATACCATCAAAATTGCCCACATAATTGTCACCAAATTAACAGTGAATTTAGTTTAATTTGGTTGATTTTATTAGTGTATAGTTTTTCAAAAAAATAGTTAGTAAGAGTGTTTGAAAATATCTGTTTTTAAATTAATTTTAAATTGTTAAATAATATATAAACTATTCTATTAGTTCTTAATTAATAATTATAGTCATCACATGTTTTATACAACCAAACCAAATAGACATTAAGCTAGTAAAGCAAAAAAAAAAGAAAAAAGAAGATAAATCTTGAAAATTTTTTCAAAGACTGTATTTGGTTTTATGTTTAGGAAATAGTTAATAATTGATATATAATATCTAATGAAGTTACGAAAAATCAGGACATCTTGACGTTCAGGTTGTCCATTATAATAGTTAGTTTTGTGGATTTCAATTAAGGATCCACTTATTTAATGATTGTGATGGACGTCCTAGCACCAAGACGTCTTGATTTTCATAGCTAATAGTTAATGGTTATTTATCATTTAAGTATTCTCATGGATCCAATTAAAGGTTAGATATACAATTATTTAGTTAGTTGTTTCATAACATTTAATCCAAATAGCGCATAAAGCTTTTTGAAAAAAATTCTAAAGCTTAATAGAAAAGAAAAAATATATATATTTTAAAATTCTCTTTTACCTCCCAAAACCAATGTTATCAAAATCGAGATTTTACCTAAAATCATTTTGGTTAGGTGAGATCGGAATCGTAAAATCAAAGCGATAAAATCGAGATTTTACAAAATTTAATATATAATATATAATAAATTATATAAAATCAAAATTAAACAACAATAAATCAAATTTAGAGTTAGAAACTTGAAATTAGCTAATTAAAATCTAAATATCTAACAACACAAATAAATTAGTTAATTTAATATAAATCATTAGTTAAACATTTAAGCTAACTAGTAACTACAAATAAAATAAAAAATGATAAGCACTAATTCTCCTGCCAAAAGAGATAAAAAGAAGTTGGTTGAGATTTTAAGCAGATATGATCCAGATAATCAAGATGCCATAATCAAGATGTTGAACATTTAAATTTAATGGGCAAACAATGTCAATATCCCATGTCACTCATTAAGACAAACTAAAATAAGGTGCTGAACATTTAAACTTAATAGGCAAACAGTGGCAAATATCCCACTTCACTCATCAAAACAAACTAAAATAAAGTGCTAAACATTTAAACTTAATGGGCAAACTGTGTCAAATATCCCACTTCACTCATCATTCATCCAGACAAACTAAAATAAATCACGAATGCAGCAAATGATTGAGCAGTGAGCAGCGGTAGTGGCAGTGGCAGTGAGCAGCGGTAGGCAGTGGGCAGCGACAGGCAATGGGCAATGGCAGTGATGAGCAGTGGCAGTCCAATCCAATCTCTCCCTCCCTTGCGGCGAACCCTAAGTGAAGACTAAAGAAGATGACTTAGATTTAGAATTTTAGATGGTTAAATCAAATTTGTCTCGAATTCTCGATTAAAATGTTGATTTATTGTTGGGTTGTGCGGGTCGTGGGCTTTTAAAATGAAAAATGGACTTAATTTATGGGTTATTTAGCCAAAGTCCACTAACCCAAGATGAGAAGCCCAAAAGGAAATAGGCAAAAAGTCCAGCTACCAAATAGGGGGTAAAATTGAGATTTTACATGATTTCACAGTAAAATCGAGATTTTACGTTTTTGACCCCAAATTTTATGAATTTTCAATTTTGATATAAATTTTACACGAAATATCTTGCTGAAATCATAAAATTATAAGATTTTACGATTTAAATCTAAATTTTGACAACACTGCCCAAAACTACATATGTATATTGGGCAGGATTAGGAGTGACAACAGTTCTATTGGACTTGAGATAGAAACAATGATCCATGCGTTCTCAATTTGGGCTCCAATGAAGCTATTAGCAAATATCAAGAAATATATTTTATGGGCCGAAGACTCAATGAGTCAATGGAATGACCGACAGAAGCAATCTGCGAGAAGCAGGACTGCTCGGCAGTGGTGG